CTTCCTCCCAGTGATAGAGTTTATGGTAGACCACCATGATCTTGTTCTTTTGTCATGCTTGTTCGAGTTGTATTTAACAGCCTGAAGTTGGTTTTTTCTGATCAGCTTATTAGTTCTCTCCTGGAGTATTGAAACACTTGGGTTTTGTTTTTGTCCACCTTTTCAAAGAAGTGCTTGCCTACATTTTAGAAGATGTTTTACTAAAGGTGACAGGAAAGGGGTTTAATCAGTGAAATTTGTATCAGCTTTGTCATTTGCACTACAGTGTAAATCTGTGATTAAAGCAACATATTCCTAGACAGGATGGTTTAGCTGAAAGCAGTCATATATGGGAAGTGCCACTTTTTGGACTCTTCATTGAAAGCTGGATACTCTTCGATGCTCTCCATCTGCTCCTATATCCATGCCAGAGTCTTCTTTGGGCAGAAAAAGAGACTGCACATGGTTGTGTAAAGTTGGACTTCTTCTTTATATCCTTTGTTTTCTTTGGGGAATGACCCAAAGTTTAAAGAGTGGTCAATCCGTTTGCTGGCCTCCTTGGATGTTTCCTTGTAGTAAAAAGAGGAGATGTTCTGTGGCTCCAAATAATCCCCTTTATGAGCTCCTTTCTGAAGGTTTTTTGTGGGAGAGGTGATCTAGTTCTTTCCTTACGCAAAATGTGAGCATTCATGACCGTTGAGGAAAGAGGGTGGAAAAACACTTCGCACTAGTTCATAATACAATTCTCTAAAACAAGGAAGAGGTCAAAAACAAATTTTGAGTAGAGAAGGCATCTATATATTTACAGGATAGCCCCTTCAGTGTAGTAAACACTGGTATTAATGGGGGTCCTGTTAACCACCCATCCCACCCCAGGGGGAGGACATCCATCACACAGTAATCTCATGCGTGGAAAATTAATGTCTCCTGCCCCTAGCCCTGCATGAGCTGGACCTCCATTTCTTCGTCCCTATCCAAGAAGACTAGAATATCTAACTATTTCTTGATGTTATAGAAAGGTACTAGCATAATTATTCTTCTCAATTATTTTAAGACCCCGAGTGTTGGTCCGGCTGGGGCTCGAACCCTCAACCTCCCGCACAACAGTCCAG